CTACCCATCCTGCTGGCTGACCCGTGAGTTTCTACCGGCCCTCGGGAGCCGGCTGTGTGTGACTCGAGCTATAACTGGTGAAGGCATATTTCGATAAAGGAATGATCGACACGCTACATACCATAACGATCGATTTCGCCAACGATTTGGGCAACGGTTCACCAGCTGCCTATTCTATGTGCATTTAACTGATGTATCTGCCCCTGTATTTTTTCGATTGTTTCATTTGTTACCGAACCCACCACAGGTTTCGTTGAAACAGTATGTTATGTTTCTGTGTTTGGCAGGCCTCAGAACCTGATTGCCCAGTCGCAGTCGGGGACCGGTAAAACAGCCGCCTTCGTCCTGGCCATGCTGAGCCGGGTGGACATCACCAAAAACTACCCGCAGGTCAGTCACAGGAGTGGGAAACTCAAAAACGTGTAGCCGAAACGAAGCGTGACTGTGAGCTCGGCTCTCAGCTGACTGCATGTCCTATGTCTCTCATTCGGTTGACGTGCTTTATGGTTCCCTCAGGTTCTGTGCCTGTCTCCGACGTACGAGCTGGCGCTGCAGACGGGTGACGTGGCCCAGCGGATGGCCCAGTACTGTCCCGACATCCGGATCAAGTACGCCGTCCGCGGAGAGGAGAGTGAGTACCTGCTCTATCCCCGGGGTCTGTGTTAGTAGTGGCCAGCGGATGGCCCAGTACTGTCCCGACATCCGGATCAAGTACGCCGTCCGCGGAGAGGAGAGTAAGTACTGAGTACCTGCTCTATCCCCGGGGTCTGTGTTAGTAGTGGCCAGCGGATGGCCCAGTACTGTCCCGACATCCGGATCAAGTACGCCGTCCGCGGAGAGGAGAGTGAGTACCTGCTCTATCCCCGGGGTCTGTGTTAGTAGTGGCCAGCGGATGGCCCAGTACTGTCCCGACATCCGGATCAAGTACGCCGTCCGCGGAGAGGAGAGTAAGTACTGAGTACCTGCTCTATCCCCGGGGTCTGTGTTAGTAGTGGCCAGAGGATGGCCCAGTACTGTCCCGACATCCGGATCAGGTATGCCGTCCGCGGAGAGGAGAGTAAGTTACGTCCTGTTCCCTCCCGGCTGATAAGGGACGGCGCCCTGGCTGTGGTCTGACGTGGGACGTGAGCTGCGGAGTGAAGCATTGTGGCTGTGTGGAGTATTGCTCGCCTTGTTTGGTTGTGGGTAGAACAGGCTGTTGGGTCTTGCCGGTATTCATTCGCTATACGCCCTCGACGTGCGATACGGTGTCTTGCTATTGTGATTCAGCTCTTCATTTGCTCATCTGCTCCCAGTGATGCTGCTCGTTGGTTCGTTTTTTTTTTTGCCATAGGATGCGCTTTTTAGCGCCAACCCGCTCACGACCCTCCCGTCCCTCCACTCGTCTATCTACAGTGGCCCGCGGCGCCAAGCTGGACGAACACATCATCATCGGCACGCCGGGAAAGGTGCTCGACTGGGGCATCAAGTTCCGCTTCTTCGACATCAAGAAGATCTCCGTGTTCGTGCTGGACGAGGCGGACGTTATGATCTCACTGCAGGGCCACCAGGACCAAAGCATCCGAATTCACAAGTCAGTGAGCGATAGAGACTGGGTGATTGGAGAGTGGAGGGTTTTCTGAATGTCAGACACGGCTGGATGGAGGAGAGAATATAGCGCGACTCTAAAGGAGATTTGTCAACTGCAGTGGTCAGTGGTCACTGATACTTGTTCCACGATCAAGAAAGCTTTTTACCTGGTTATGTGTTTACGGTGCCGCTTTAGGTCTTCACTCAATGTTCTCACAGCTGAGAGTAAGTGTAATAAAATAGCTACATGTAGCAGTGCATGTAAAGTATAATGTAGTGACATGTGACGGCTGTAACCCTCTGCCTCGTTTTTTTTTTTCTAGAATGGTGCCGAAGTCGTGTCAGATGCTGTTCTTTTCGGCCACGTATAACGGCGAGGTGATGAACTTTGCAGAGGCCATCGTCTCAAATCCAGTCATCATCAAACTCAAACGGTGAGTCGCACTGCGCTCTACTTTTTTGCCTTGATGCGCGTTTTTGCGAAGTATTAACTAGAGTAAAGTGAGCTAACGCATTTCTCAACTTCAATACGAGGCCTCTTTAAGCATTTGACGTGGTATGAGTAGGCGGACTGACAGAGCCTTGACAAACTGTTTGCTCCGCCAGAGAGGAGGAGAGTCTGGACAACATAAAGCAGTACTACGTGGAGTGTATGTCGGAGGAGTCCAAATACCAGGCCATCTCCAACATTTACGGCGTCATCACCATCGGACAGGCCATCATCTTCTGCCACGTGAGTCGGCCGGGCGGCACAAGAGGGGGAGGGGTAGGGGGGCTGTTGAGAGGAGCAGCTGATCATTTCTGGGATAGCACAGAGTCAACTGGTCTGGTGACAATGCTTCCTCACCTGCAAAGCGATGTTAGTTTGTGCCTTTGGTCGGTAGCTCAGATGTCGCTACTTGTCAACGTGTTTCTATCACCGATTCTGACATCCTCCTACCGTCTAACCTCACCTACCCGTGTAGCTCATCTAGCCACCCCTGTTGACCACAGACGAAGCGGACGGCCTCGTGGCTGGCCAACAAGATGATCGCGGACGGCCACAGCGTGGCGCTGCTCTCTGGCGAGCTGACTGTGGAGCAGCGTATCAGCGTGCTGGACCGCTTCCGCGACGGCAAGGAGAAGATCCTCATCACCACCAACGTGCTGTCGCGCGGTCAGTCACCGGGCGCCAGGGGCTGAGGGAGGGACGCGGGTACTTCGTAGGCCGGGCTGTGCTGTCTCAGTGTGCGCTGCTGTGTGTCAGGTGGGGCGGGAACTGATAATTGAGACGCTCATAACATCAATCAGCAAATATTCTGAGGAGAAAGGCACCTCTCTCTCTCTCTCTCTCTCTCCCTCTCCCCCTCCCTCCCAGTGTTCACTAACCCCGCTCTGTCGTTCCTCCAGGTATTGACGTGGAACAGGTGACGATCGTGGTCAACTTTGACCTGCCGGTCGACCAGACGGGCTCGGCCGACTGCGAGACCTACCTGCACAGGATCGGGCGCACCGGACGCTTCGGCAAGGCCGGCATCGCCATCAACCTGGTGGACGGCCGGCGCTCCCACGCTGTGCTTAAACAGATCATCGACCACTTCGGTACGGGCGTGGCTGGGCTGGGACAGTGTTCTCATGTGATATGTGCAATGTGCATTGTGCAATGAGAAGTAACTCTTCTTTGCTTTAAGACGTTAGAGTGTATTGCCCGAGGTGGCATTTCTATTTTGGCCATTTAGACATGTTTGATAGTAGGTTGTCTGGTCTATCCATTATTTCTTAGCTGGGTTATCAAGTGTAATTATAACATGTGTTAGTAATCGGTGTGCAGTGAATGAATCTTATATTTTCGTCCTTCTGATCACATTTAATTTCTTCACAGGCCGGAAAATCAACCGATTGGACGTAGAAGACGCCGACGAAATCGAGAGGATCAACAAGGACTAGGCTGTGGTTGGCGCTAGCTAATCAATTGCCCACCGTTCCGTCCATCGTCACAGAGCGGACCGGTGGTGGGCGACACTCAGGTCCACGGCCCTGTGTGAGGGACTGGGCCGCGGATGAGCTACACTCAATTAAACGGTTCTGGCCACAGGGCTGGGGAACCTGTGCATTCGGCCGGGCCGGTGGGCGAGACGCAATTCCACGGCTCTGTGCGGAGTTGATGCTCCCGTGTATCCTGCTGCTGCTGCTGTTGAAGATTCCGCCGCCAGGCCCCGTGTCCGACCTTTTCGAGACGTCAGTTCGGTGTCGGACGTGGCACATCGATGTGAGGTGACCCGGGCCGGCGCGGTGTGGTGCCGGTGGTACTTGTGAGTGTGGTACTAGTGTACCTGACCGGGTACCTGACGTGCCAGTGAACCTGGCGGCGCCATGAGCCCGGCTGTGGAGCGCCGTGAGTCTGTGACGCCGAGCTGTGATCCTGCGAGGGTCGCTGGTTACGCTTCAGTTGGCGGCGAGGACCGGATCTGTGCACCGCTTCACGCCGCCATCACATTTGTCCGTTCCAAGAAGGAAATACATTTTATCTTTGTGCACATTCTCATGTGTGACGGTCACGCCCACTGACATCAATGAATGACTGGATTGTCAATCGGCCATGGAGGCGACTGCGGCTAACTGTACAGCACCGTAGCTCGATGACAGCGCTCTTGTCTTGAATGCCGGCGATCCGGGTTCGATTCCTAGAGGTCACATCCCTATCGGTCACTGGTCGCAAGACAGCATGGTAGCTGCTTAGCACTAATCACTATTGGTCTAAAGGATGTGTCGACTTTGATCCACCTGGATACAGCGTCTTACATACCTGCGCTAGATTGCAGCGCTATCAATGTGGACGTTTCAGGGCATCAGCCCGAAGGGCAATTGATGAGGTACATGCGCTGCAACCCTCTACCCCCCCCCCCAAAAAAAAAGAACGTAACAAATGGCTATGATCCAAATTCGGTTGTAACAAACCCCCTTATCACAATCTCCTGCGTTTCAATGTAGTCCCTTCACGGCGAACAATGCAGCGGCCCACCCTTCGAGCCGTGTCACGGTCTACGGACGCTCGTCTGTGAATAGAAGCCGCTTGTTCAACGAACAGGGTGGCCGGACACTTCAGTTACCCACACAACGCGATTGCGAACATAAACATGCTAAAAGAATACACAGACGGAGCTCGTAAAATTCGATGCTGAGAGCCGCTGTTTCGATCGTGAATGAAGTTCGGGGCTCGATTCTATGCGTTCCTTGATTCATGGCTGCCTCCCACCAGTTTTATGTCTACGAATACCTATTCGGTTGGCGCATCAGGATGACTTCAACACGGTACAAATATGACATTATGATCCCACATGCCTTGACTGATTCACTTCACTCGCGACCACACCGGTGCGTAATCCCCCCCCCCCCCCGTTCCGCCGGGTGCCCCTGCCGTCGACTCGGCTCCGGCGGGGCGCGGCAGCTCATCTCCGGCCGGCTGCAGATGGACCGTGCGTCAGTCGGCGGCGCGCAGTGGCAGTGGCCGGTCCGGTCTCCAGTCTGTCCAGACACCATGGCGCGCCACACACTACTGCTGGCGGCCGGGGCTGTGCTGGTGGTGGTCTCAGGCACCGCGGCGGCAGGGAATAGCAACGGTGAGGAGACTCGGGGAGCGGAGACTATAGCGGGGATCGCTAGTACTACACGCTGAGGGGTAGTCGGAACCGGTGTGAAGTGTGAATTAATATTTCAAGAGTAAACAATGATAAATTTGCTAGCCTAATCGTATTTCTATTTTTGCCTGGTAGCTTCGTTATTTGTCCCTGAAAGTGGGCGTTCTTATGAAGCTGATCCCGTCTAATCGGTACCAATATGTGACACTACGACCAGCGCTATGATAAACACAAGCCAACCAATGTTTATACGACCGGAGAGCACACTGCACGTCCGGCTTAGGTGAGAAGTTGGGTACGCCGGCCGCTCGGGAGCAAATGGCCATTGCCACGGGCCACGGCGATATTCCTTACTAGCACATCAGTTGGTCAACTGAGCAGCACCCAAACCACAGGGTACATTCCTAAACCCCAGGCGCATCGGGTCGCCAGCTCTCGCCGCCTCCCTGTCTCTATGGGAGTCGCCCGTCCGCCGCCGGTGACACTGAGCCCCTGTTGATGGCAGTGTCGCCTGTTTGTCCGTTACAGCCGTGATGCCCGACCGGTACTGCCTCTCCTGCCTGTGCGTGGCCTCGAGTGACTGTGACCTGAACACGCCGTGCCGGGAGGTGGGCGGCAGGTCCTTCTGCGGCCCCTTCTACATGACCGAACACTTCTGGAGGGCGTCCAACGTCAGCACCGAGCAGCGCTTCAGTCAGCTTGGTGAGCGGAGAGCGGAAGACCCACGGCGGGGAGATTAGGGAGAGGAAGCTACGCTGAGTGCATCTGCTAATTGTAAATAGCATATGAAATATGAATATTGCATGAAACGGCAAGCAGCCGTTTGCTGCATATGTACGCGGAAGGTGATAAATGTTCGTTAACGGGCTAGCGCCGGACAGCGGCGAGACGGTCCTCCGAATAGCCGCGCCGCCGCCCGGGGCGGCCCTGCCGGCGGCGCGGCCCTCTCGGACGGGACGGGAGGGGACGGGAGACGCTTCCCCAGTGCGTGGGCGCTCGGTGCGCGCGGCGGAGGTGCGCTCCCGCGCGCCGAGAGGAGCGTCCGTCGGGTTCGATTTTTTTCTTTCTTTTTCAGCTCGTCGACCGTCCCTCTCACATCGCGTAAGGAATGGAGGAATGGACATAACATGAGAGGGACGGCCGGCCGATCATCAGCCAATGTAACGTTCGAGCAGAGTCTGTGCGGCGCTATAGTTAACGGAAGATAACGTTGTTATATCAACCTTTCGCTGGTCAAGCCTTCGGGACAGCGCAATCTCTTGTCCACCGCCTTTTTAGGAAAAAAAAAAACGTTAATAAGATTGGTTCGAGCGAAAGATTTGCCAACCAAAAGTTGATTTACTATCGCTTCTTGACACGCCCAATTACAAATTTTACGCCTGTTGCATTGCATGTGCTTGTACGAAAATTAATGAATTCGGCGACTAGCCTCCTCCTCGTAACCTCCACACCGGATAAGCCATCGCCTGAGGACTGAGACACTCCAGTAATTGGAAAACTCGGCATAACATGCATGCATTGTTTGACCACAACTCCAAATGTGTCTTAGCTTAGCCCAGCAGTCATCCTCTGACTATGCAGCAGCATTGCTCAACCACTCGTCATCCTCATGAGCTTGTGGTCACATGTGTGGGAGCTCGCGTGTCCCGGCATTCTCGCTGGACCAACTAGCGTGTGTTCGTGTTTCAGACCACCTCCGCTGTGCCCGTGATTCACGTGGTGCCTCGCTGTTCTGACTGACCTGTGTCCGTGTTTCAGATTACCTCGGCTGTGCCCAGGATGTGGACTGCGCCGGCCAGGCGGTCACTCTCTACATGGCCAGCCACGCCACGGTGAGTTCACCCGGTCCGGTGCGCCGGCCAGGCGGTCACTGCGCCGGCCAGGCGGTCACTGCGCCGGCCAGGCGGTCACTCTCTACATGGCCAGCCACGCCACGGTGAGTTCACCCGGTCCAGTGCGCCGGCCAGGCGGTCACTGCGCCGGCCAGGCGGTCACTCTCTACATGGCCAGTCACGCCACGGTGAGCTCACCCGGTCCCGCAGACACCCCGCTGGGTAAACTCCATCCAACCATCCAGCTTGTACCCAAGTTGGCTTTACTTATACCTGAATCCTCAGCAACTAATGGAGGCAGCCGCAGGAGACGCTTGTCAACAGAGACGGACCGTCAAATCAGTAGCCATGCGGTGAACTCATATGGACGTTCCAAACCGTCCGTTTCAAAAAGCGATGAAGTTCGCAATTGGCCTCGTCCTAATAAAGAGTGACATCGCTGCACTAGGTGTTAGCTGGCCCGGGAGACGGGAGTAGGTAAAAGAATCGGTGATATCTGCGATAACGACAATCCTCTGAAACTGATCTTAGCAAGGTAAGTTACTAAAGCAACCGCAGCCAATGTAATACGTCGGTTAGTGGGGAGATACCATCTGACGGTTGACGGGGAGGAGAGGGGCATCACGAGGCCAACTACTTTGCACATTTGTTTGGCATATCGTCAAGCAGCATCGTGTAAAGGCCGCGTACCATTTGATAATGCTGCACCCAGCGTCCAGGCTGAAGGTCGCATGTGACGCAACAACCGATCGAGGCTTTACTTAGTGATTGACGATCAACATATCTGCCTATATTACACCGGACCCTCTGTTTCGGTGTAATCTGACTTAGGAGGACGTCACCACTACCAGTGATCACCCACTGACGTCGCTCTGCCGCCGGCAGGACTGTGACGACGACGGCCACATCACGTGCAAGGACTTTGGTCTGACGCACCTGCTGGGGCCGCGCCGGTGCCACGACCCGGCGCAGCGCCGCGCCGCCGAGGAGACCGTGTTCGTGCGCCGCTTCGCGCGCTGCCTGCTGGACACCCTGGGCCTGCTGGGAGCCGGTCGGCGGGTGCGGCCGCACTGCCAGCCGCGACTGCTCACCTGGCGGGCGGCGGCCGACTTCGACAGCGAACAGCAGCAGCTGCTCTGAATAGCTGCTCTGAGACGGACCGCAGCAGCTGGTCTAAACAGCTGCTCTGAGAGGGACAGAGTTCGACAGTCAGCAGCAGCAGCAATTGTTCTGAAAGCTGACAGTCTGAGAGAGGCTGTATGGACACGGGTGGACAGTCGCGGGCCTCGGGAGTGCGCGACTGAGCACGGGTACAGCGGCTGGAGAGATGGTGGAATGGACCGACTGCGGAGAACAGAGGCTGTTGGAACTGTTGTTAGTTGTATGTACGCTAGGTGTGTCTTTCCAACCAATAGCTAGACACTAACATGAACAATCTTCGACAGTGAACGGTGTTACTGTGCAGTCTCCAACTGGACAGAGGACATCCAACGACCGATCTTAGAGAAGACGTACACAATCTACCGTGACGGCGCTTACATAATGTCGGCAAATACCTACCAAATCGACCAAATGGGTTGGACACAGGCTTGGAAAGGCCGAATTCCAAGCACATCATCTCCGGCAGTCCGTGGGACAAACCCAGTGGCGCACAGTACCGTCGGACTGCTGAGCTGCCTTCGAGGGACGGCAGCCGGAGACCAATGATTTACCGACGGGATTCCGCTAATCCGCGTTAACCGTCCCTGTCGAACGTCAACTGCTGCCAATTCCCGGCCCGGGTCAGGAATGCCGCTCCCGGGAATAACGTCCTTCGAAGATCTGCTGGCGAACTCGCGGCTCTACGCGACCTTCCACATGTAAACCGGTGAATATTGCTGGAACAATGCAGGATTGGCAATAGGACCGAACAACAGACGGTATTGCTGCCATCGCTGGATTGTCCGTGCAGTGCGACTGACAATTGCCATTCTACCATCAGTGCCATACCGGAGACGGTGACCGGTCGGTGCGGGCCGTCCCACCACAGTGACCTCCGCAGTGACCTCCGCCGGAGTGGAGCGCGACGCACCGGCGCCGCCGGATCCAAGGACACTCGTCACCGACTGCAGGGATACCGGCGGCTGCTGGTGACTGGTAGTGACTGGGACAACTGTCGGTGACTGCGGCTGTTATCGGCTATCGCTGGAGAACTGTGGGAAGGCAGGCGCACTGTCCTGTGGTTACCATTCTAATTAGCAGAACCTGTTCTTGAGAGAGAACGTAATTCACGCGAAAAGGACAAGAGAAAGACCGGACCAGGCAGATTGGCCATCCCAGCCGCCAAGGTAACCGCCGCTCGCTGACCGTGGCTAACCTCGTGTGGTAGTGCGTGGGAGTATGCTACTCAGCCTTGCCATCCGGAAATGACAGACTCATCCAGAGCCGATCGAAACGAGAGTTATACGGCGTCCGGACTGCAGCGACCTGAAGCATGCGAGCCGACCGTGACACTTCTGAGAACCGCAGCCGCATGCCAGAGACGCACTATGTGTGATAAATGACCCGGGACGGCATCAAGGCACATTGGTGGACCTGTTTGGGCTGCGACGTGATTCAACGGTCGTCAATTCAATGCAGCGAGATATGCGAGATGGAGAGTCCCAGTAACTCGGCCGCCGAATAGATCACAGTGATCGACCTCGACCTCTTCATGGAACAGTGTGTCGATCGGAGGCCGAATTTAGAGGACAGAGAGGCTGGAGACAGCCCCCTGAGCTCCACTGTCACACAGCGGGGTCGGCGACAGCCCCCTGAGCTGCACCGTCGCCCGGGTCATGGAACCGGCCGCACAGACCTTGGCTCCGGCTGTTTTGCATACCCGCTCACAGACTGTCCCATAAACCAGAATCAACCAACGCAAGGTTACTGATCGCAAGCAATAAACTTCAAAACACAGGACTGTTTCCAGCCAACACTTCCCCACTCAGTCGGCAATGGCCCGGCGGGGATAGCTGTGAATACGACCGTGAAGGGGCAATTGTTCGTGTCGGCCTAGCGCTTGCTTGTCTCACAATAGGCTGTCCATCGCTGGGTGATCCTGTGATAGGCTCGCAGTCGCTAATAATGCCGTAGCCATCATTTGCACTAGAGTGTCTGTAACTGATGTGTTTACGGCCGTCCGTTATAACTGATTGGGTGGTTACTCGGGTCCGTAGGTGCTGATAAGCACAGCGTCACAACCACGTAACAGGATCACTGACGTTTTATGACGTTACACCTCCACAGGCAGGTGGTCCGGCTCGGACTGGCCCCATCCGTGACACACCAAGGTCCTCCCCCAGTCAGTTGTGGTCACGAATCTCAGCCTATCTGACAGCCCCTCCACTGGTCCCAGTCGTAAGCTCTGTAGACGACCCTGTAGACGACAAAAGTGTCTAAAAATGCACCGCTCAATATGTCTAATTGGGTGCCCGACAGAGATATGTCGAGTCATCAGTCACGTGACCAATGACCACCCTTCACTGTGCTGTACGATTCCGCCGCACCGTCTCTTTATCTCGTTATGCTGTCGAGTGTATTTTGTTGCGCCCTGGGAAAGCGTGAATCCCATAAAGTATAAAGTGAATCCTGCGAACTGCGATTCATGTGTGATAACATGATATTGTGTAGAAGTGTATAGACATGGTACTGAGGCGGAGGCCGTGCCAACTGTATGAAACTGTATTGTAAGTTGTAAGTAGCATGTCATAGTGCATGTTTTGTGAAGTATTGTGAAATTACGAGATGTCTCGTATATAGCATATGAATCGATGTTAATTTTGATGTCTAATAAATTCGTGCTACGGATGTTCGTTGTTTCATTATTGCACATGATTGCAGTGCCCTCAATGTCGAAACTTAGCAGATGCCCAGTTCAGTCCAAAAGGAATGAATCCTGACAGATCCATTGGCGTTGGACCGCACCTCTACCTCCCAGCCCAGATCCCCCCCCCCCCCCAATGGTCGATATTCCACACAGAGGTGGGACATTCCCGGACCTCACGGTTGGCACCTCAGACCGCGGCGAGATGCGAGTCCCTGGTCTCACATACGGAATATCGTGACAGAGGACTTACAGAGCCCGCTTCCGCCTGCGGTTAGCGTGAGACCAATGACGGATCTATCGCCTGGGAAGGCTGTATTTTTAGTTGACGATACATGGAGATGGGACTTTGGCCGATGATTCACTTAGAGGTGATCGGACGCTACTCAGACTCTACAGGAGTCAGCAGATTAAAGGCGACAGAGCATTTTTGTACAGGTGTGGCCTATCGAGCGTAAGCCGGTGTCCCTTTCATGAAGAATTTCATCAAGCTGTACATTTCATCATTTTTCTGTTCAGGAATGCGAACTGCCGCTCAGACGACAAGTCCATGTCCTTATTTGTAGGCGCTTAATGCGTAGTTAACTAGTTATCTCCGATATCTAAATTGCTTCTGATGTCGATGCAAAATAATTACATGGATAAAACAACCCGTATGTTGCTTAACATCAGCTGGTAAGAAGATTAAACTTAATTAGACAACGCTAACAATCGTTGGAGACGGGACGGCCGATAAGGGCTCCAAAAGTTTCCGAATAGCCAGGTGCTACTCGTTTGTTTGGCAGACCTCCCAAAGACTGTACGGTTGGGATCAGATGATACAACCAACACAGACAAATCCTGTCAAACAGACAATGCGTCTTGCTAAAGAAGATTTCAGCAAGATGCCAGTAGATGGCTTTACAGAAGTAATGCAGCGCTAAACTACCCACCACATTTACTGAGTCGTAAAGGTTTAGCAGATGAAATGCGAACAGAATCAGCGGTCATTACCACAAATCAAGGTGAAAGAGAAACAATCTGACAAAGAGAGTCACCGCAGACTCACAACAACCGATTCAGAGCTATGCATGAGCGCCCACGTCGACCTAAAAATCTCGACAGTACATACCTAATCAGATAAGGACAGAAGCGAGCCACACCAAGATTACACCGTGATTTGTAATCCTATCCCCGAGTCGAAGACAGATAAAATCCATCTCGGCACTGCCAGCCACCGTCTTCAGCAGAAACGTCGCCGACGTCATAATTAAAGACGTCATCAGCCACAGAACGTCAGCGGGGAATGCGGGAGGGGGGGGGGGGGGTGAGCGACAGCGGAATGGACGTCTCCGTGTTAGCCAACACTGTGACATTCAGCCGCTGACGGACTACGTAGACACAGTAGACGGGCTGATAGGCTTAGATCAGACAGCGGCACCCCTTGTCCACCATCAGCTGACCGGTGACACTGAGCCGACCAAGACTCGAGGCCAGCTCGGAGCTGGGAGTTGGGACTGAACCAGAGTTCGGAGCTGGAGTGGCTCGAGCTCGGACAGGCGGCTCAGAGGTCGAAGCTGGACTGTGTCGTAGGGGCGCGGAAGCGAGAGAAGAGAACCGAACGGGCCGAGAGGTGTATTCCGACTGTCTACAGTTCGTCAGCGTCGGTGCCGGGAGCAGAGCATCCGTGGTTACAGGATACGGGGCCGGTCCGCCGAGCGAGGCTATATTTGGGTCGGCGGCCGGACCACGACGCGTGAGGGAGCGCGCCTCCGAATGACAGCGGAGCTCGAACGTGTGTTCTCTTTACCACGATATGAGAGAAGGGAATCGGTCCCACAATATCTTCCCTCCCCCCAGGGAAGCGTAGGGAACCGAAGCGACCATAGTAAAGAGAGCAAACGTCAAGCTAACGGAGAATAATTTTTTGGTTGAGCGTATTGCAAAATGGTATGAACAGATAAGTAGGTGTTTCGTGGCAATTGCACCTACTGCCTGCCACGGTGGCTTGAATGGTCGTTGATCTTATTAAATGGTAAGAAAAAGGACCATTGCCGGACCGCTGTGCGTGTCTGTCAAGGTCGTGGAGCTTACGGCTGGGCGAGTCCTCTGCTCTTTGGCAGGGCTCGTCCCATGGGCATCTCTGGCCCTCGGCAACTTTGGCCGTTTTTGGAGACAAATATATAATTTCGGTGATTGAACCACGATTTGCACGTAATTGACTGTCCATTCCATTTACAAAATGCTCAATTTACGTTACCTGTCGAAATGACAAGACAAGTGCTGGTAAAATTAAAGAACTGCACTTGCGTACTTCTCCGTAAAATTTTGAGAGTAACCACAGAAACACTGCAAACGACACAGAACACTGACGAAAACAATTTCATGACAGTACAATTTTTCACAAATTCACAATTGTTTTACAAGATTTCACCAATCAATCACTGTCACTTTTTTATAAAAATATCAAGAGTTCATTTATCTTTTTCATTTTCTTGATCACGATTTTTAAGTGGAATGATTTTTGACTTTTTCTTGAGTTTTTTTTTTAGCTTGAATTTTCCATTCTTCTCTCCTTCAGGCTAGATGTTGTATACGAGGTGGTGTCCATCACTCGATAACGCTGAGGAGGACTGCGCAGGCTGATGAGCCGTGCGCTGTCGGCGGGCTCCGTAGAGGTCCAGTGCAGCTGATGGCGTTGGTTGCCGCAGGCCGATGATGTTGCCGGGCAGAGCTGCTCACTGGAGACGGTGCAGCTGGACGATGACAAGTCCAGGATGGTCACAGGTCAGCTCCCTAGTCGATGACGTGACGTAGGGGCGACGCACCGTATCGGAGCACGGACTAACCAGTCTGCGAAGTTAATGCAGATGCAGAGGCTGGGGTCCGTTGTGAGGGGCACAAGTCCCCTCGACCGCCGCTGCCACCATTGTCGTAGGGGCGCGGAAGCGAGAGAAGAGAACCGAACGGGCCGAGAGGTGTATTCCGACTGTCTACAGTTCGTCAGCGTCGGTGCCGGGAGCAGAGCATCCGTGGTTACAGGATACGGGGCCGGTCCGCCGAGCGAGGCTATATTTGGGTCGGCGGCCGGACCACGACGCGTGAGGGAGCGCGCCTCCGAATGACAGCGGAGCTCGAACGTATGTTCTCTTTACCACGATATGAGAGAAGGGAATCGGTCCCACAACTGTCCCCGACTCGGAGCTGGAATTGGCACCGAGCTCGCTGTCAGAGGGCCCAAGGACGCGGCCGGGATGACCCGGAGCCGGCCGGCCGACCGGCGTTGTCTCCGCTGGGTCACGGTGTCAGCCGTCCCGCTGAGGGAGGGACACACCCACAGCGGGCCGAGTCGGGTCGACATTCCAGCGCGTACCGGCCTGATGCAACCGCGGCCGTCCGCCGGCCATCTATCTGCCGTCGCAGACGGTGGCGCAACGACACCATAGCTGCAGGACTGCAGGACAGGTCACGGCTGGGGCGTTCCACGACAAATCGACAAATAAAAAATTAAATTTGCACCCTCATATTTTATTTTTCGTTGAAAACTGGTGTAAGGGGTTGTGATGGGCGGGGAAGCCAGCTGTGGCAAGGATTTTTTTCTCCGAACAACGGTTTCCGAGATATAGCCTCGGGCAATTCCTGGAGGTCGCGCTGCAGCCCTATGTTTGGCGGCCTATAACTCAAAAACTATTGGTTTTCTACGATAACACTTTATATGGTTCAACTCGCAATCAGACAACAAACATTTTGGCTATCTCGGATTTTCATTTTTTGAAAATTTTGATCACGTGACCTTTTGACCTATTTTTCGAAGAGTGACCTTGATATTTTCCCCACTGAAAGTTGCAATTTTGTCTGATGACGATTAAAGCCTTATCAATTGTCATTCATATGCGAAAATAAAAAACGTGGATATCGCCCTGCGTTGACCTCAGGTCAGGTCATTTTTATGACCTGTCCATTATTACGAGCGGGAGCGACAGTGAGATCTCGAGAATAAAGCAAGATAGCGACAAGCGGTAAACGGTGCAGGGTACACACGGATAAGGTCTATAATTTTTACTGAGGTCATTTTCAGGTCAGGTCAAAGATGACGTCACAGGAGCAAAAAGGAAGTCAAAATTGCGGCACTACATATATATGAAGTTTTTCTCGAATAACTTTCAAGGTATCCTAGCTAGGAACAAACCAATAGCACCACCGTGATCCTCTTGTCGATCCGCATCGAAACACATGTATGTTGACCTCGAAAGGTCGAAAGGTCAAAAGTTGACCTTAGGTCACGTGACGAGCGGGAGCGACAGCGAGATCTCGAGAATAAATCAAGATAGCGACAAGCGGTAAACGGTGCAGGGTACACACGGATAAGGTCTATAATTTTTACTGAGGTCATTTTCAGGTCAGGTCAAAGATGACGTCACAGGAGCAAAAAGGAAGTCGAAATTGCGGCACTACATATATATGAAGTTTTTCTCGAATAACTTTCAAGGTATCCCAGCTAGGAACAAACTAATATCACCATCGTGATCCTCTCGTCGATCCGCATCGAAAAGTATGTATGTTGACCTCGAAAGGTCGAAAGGTCAAAAGTTGACCTTAGGTCACGTGACCTAAGGTCAACTTTTGACCTTTCGACCTTTCGAGGTCAACATACATATGTTTCGATGCGGATTGACGAGAGGATCACGATGGTGATATTAGTTTGTTCGTAGCTGGGATACCTTGAAAGTTCTTGGAGAAAAACTTCATATATATGTAGTGCCGCAATTTTGACTTCCTTTTTGCTCCTGTGACGTCATCTTTGACCTGACCTGAAAATGACCTCAGTAGCAATTATAGACATTATCCGTGTGTAGTGTGTACCCTGCACCGTTTACCGCTTGTCGCTATCTTGCTTTATTCTCGAGATCTCGCTGTCGCTCCCGCTCGTAATAATGGACAGGTCATAAAAATGACCTGACCTGAGGTCAACGCAGGGCGATATCCACTTTTTTTATTTTCGCATATGAATGACAATTGATAAGGCTTTAATCGTCATCAGACAAAATTGCAACTTTCAGTGGGGAAAATATCAAGGTCACTCTTCGAAAAATAGATCAAAAGGTCACGTGATCAAAATTTTCAAAAATTGAAAATCCGAGATGGCCAAAATGTTTGTTGGCTGATTGTGAGTTGAACCATATAAAGTTTTTATCGTAGAAAACCAATAGTTTTTTAGTTATAGGCCGCCAAACATAGGGCTGCAGCGCGACCTCCAGGAATTGCCCGAGGCTATATCTCGGAAACCGTTGTTCGAAGAAAAAAATCCTTGTCCCAGCTGGCTTCCCCGCCCATCACAACCCATTAGACCAATTTTAAGCAAAAAATAAAATATGAGGGTGCAGGGCACTTGTCGATTTGTCGTGGAACGCCCCGGCTAGGTCACAGCTGAGGGACAGCTTATCCATGCAGGACTGCAGGGCAGGTGATATCCGGTAAACTGCAGGATAGGTCGCATCCAACAGCTGATAAAACCGACGAAGGACTTTTGAAAAAATCATCTTTATAGCAGTGACTTCAAGCTGTCGTACTGTCAAAAAGGCTTTCAATACCATCTTGGGGGCGATCCGATGACACCCCTCTCCACATTTTAGGCCCTCCAGCGGCCGCTGACCGCTCCGACAAGGTCCCTCATAATTCACTGAGACAACGGACAAGGTCCCCGAGTCGACCGTGACATTGGAGTTCACAACACGGACCGACCGCTTTCCCTTTCGGCGCCAGCTCGGCTATGCAGCGGCGTGCGATACTGGCTGCAGACGGCGGCTGTAGCCGGTCTCGTGCAGTGCACGCGGCGCCTGTGCAGGCCGGGGAGCGGCCGGCACACTTACCCCGATACATGCACTATTAGGAGGGGCGCAGAGTCAAGGGCGCGGCCCCCGGTACGTGAGGTGCTGAGGTGCCGAAGATAATAAGTCAGTACTCCTGTGGCGGTGGTGAGACTGCCATCAGATGAGCCTTATCCCCGCAATGATTCCCAGACAGAGATGTGGCAATTCACTGCCGTAATAGACACTCACCAATAGACGGTTAGCTCCCATCAGTATTCAGTATTCACCTCAAATCTCACGTAAGTCCACATTATTGTATTGCACAAATTCCTGCATAATGAAATACATCAAATACCGGTAATTCAAAGATAATGTCACTGTGAATTAAAGTCGAGAATCACGATATCAAATAGGCGCTATTCCTTGATGCCATGACGCTCGAGAAAAGCACGGCATCTCAACATCCTATTCAAACCTAAAGTATCCCATTCTCGGTCTCTCTCTGGAGACCATACCCCTGGAAACCAATTCGGCCGATCGGTCAATTCAACGATCGAACAGCAATACTCTGCATCGACGAGCCCTCGAAGCCTTTTTGGCTTCAGATCCTGACGACAGTGCCGACAAGAAAAAGCCAAACAGGCACCAAACAAGCTTTTTACGTTAGCGCAATCTTATCACACCACAGTTTCAACTTCTTTTACTATCAGCGACGCTTTCAATGTCACTTTAGTCTTTCACAACATACGAAAACTGGCCAACAGAGCACTTACTAATAACAGCTCTTGAAAGAAATTATCCTTTAATGTAATTGAAAACAAACAACAAAACTGTCAACCAGTGGGTGCAAAATTTCAACAAACGCTAATATCATCTGAAATGCATTCAGATAGACACCGCACTCTGAGCTGCCACACTCTGCCGCCCTCACTCCACATACCTACCCACCCTGCCAGACCAGCCCATGCACCGTCGCCAAGGGGACGAGCATTGGCCCCTGCGTACGGGCGCTGACCCCTGTATAGGACAGCGCCGCCCAGTGTGGATATTGGGGCAGCTGCCCCCAGGTGGACAGCCTGCTCCGTGTGGATACGATGTCCACCCACTGTGGACGCTTACTGTCCCCACAGGGCACCTATGTGGACACGGCGGCGTCGTCGTCCGGTCCAGAGGCCGCCAGATCCTCCTGCGAGTCGTCCTTCGGGGGTTCGCTCTCCTCCGGGTCAGCTGGGGGCACAAACACCGGTCAGAAACGGAACATACACCACGGCTACGGGTAAAGGTCAATGAGCGCCTCTCAGTCTGAACTAAACAAGCAAGACATATTGTGATAAATACATGAACTCATTGTACATGAACTCATTCGGCTTATGTAACCATGTCTTGTAGGATGGTGAGCTCTTACATTAAGGTACAGATTCGAACAACCAAACATTAAATTTTTGCTGCCCACCAGAACACCTAAATCTAAGTAACTGGAACTTATATGACGTTCCCGGTTCGCCTGACAAAGCAGAAGCAGACATCACCATTAGCATTTGGCCGTTGACGCACAAAAGCTTCCCTGAATGGACGGCAAACAAACCAAAACAAAAGGCAAATGACAAATGACAGACTTACCGTCGGTGGGGCTTGCCTTCGGGTCGGCATTGTCAGATGACTCACAGCAACAGTTTTCCCAATCCTTTTCAGCGTCAAATCGCGCAATTTACCATCTGAACACTGCATAAAAATAAACCTGTTTCTGTATTTTGTCAAAAGTAAGCCTCAATATGAGACCATAAGTTATAACAATGATAAATTTCTGGAAAGATAATCCATATAATATACGGACACACCACCTTAACAGTAAACTTGTCTAAAGAAGAAAATATCTTTATAATCGGCATCGCACAATTCGTTTTTTTTTTATCTTCGGAGCAGTGTCTTTGCGGTTGGGCCGGGACGACTGTAGCGCCGTGCGATCGTAGCGGAAGATCACACAAGCTGAGGTTCCGGCGATTGCCGACAGGCAGCGGAGCGACGAGCCCGCCTCCGCGGATCAGGGTAGGAGAGGAACGTCCTCTGGGGTTGACTCTGAGGAACGGACATTCGGAAAAGGATTAGTAATGAAGAGGGAAGAGTCTATGAGCGAGAACATACACGAGTAAAGAAACGCACACCACTTCACAATACGTACCCTCACCTCACAATTATCGATCAAGCGACAGAAGCCATTTAGAAGTAAACCGTTACAAAAGAAGTCCTTTATTCATTTTTTCACAACAAGGAATAGCACATGATAAAGTTGTGATGTGTATGCTGCACACTCACACTCCACTGGCGTTGGAGCGCCGGCGAACGAAACACTCACGCTTCTACATGTAATGCAAATAACGCGAACCCCAATTTAGTAAGTGAAATAACACAAGTGTGGTATAAATACGATGAATTTATCTTGGTCTACAGTTACACTACGTTTAAAAGCCTGCCTAGATAATGAATATCGATGAGGTCTGTGTAAATGCGAGAATATGGGCTCGAGTTAGGGCACTGGGTATCACTATAAAAGCCAGGTAGAGTAATGACAAAAAATACTGCAAATTCCTTTCCCTACCAAAAGTCAGGTAGTTTTGACGAAAATACTACAGATCATTTTCATAGATACTCACAATAGGTCAGATGCTATACTTGAAAGAAACGGTCACTTGAGATTTTGATCAGATGACAGCAGGCAAACAAGACCGTCAATTTCTCATACCACTTTAACGATACAATTGGGCATGATCCCCCTACAGCATCAACCCTTGAAAATGAGAGTTCCAATAATATATGGGCACTTTTGAAATGGATGCGTCACGCCATTAATAAGTCTTAACTTCCTTGGACAACTTTACCCCTCACAGCCTGATTCAACAATCAATGCTAAGAGAGAAGCCCTACAGAGCAGATCCCGTTGGCGTTTGTACGGCTGACCAAACCACCGATCTTTGGCATTGAAGTCTGCTGGAGGTGTGACGTCATCACTGGAGAACGGCCGTGCCCCACTGGTCAATGGCCATGGATTCGAGCTAATCAGCAGTGCTACCTTTCCGTTTTCAAACTTCGCCACGGCTGATGATAGACGCTTAATGACAATGACATCACGCTGACAAACGCCTTACAGTCCCGGACGCCACTCCCGACTTCCCACTGCCCTAGCCAACTGCGTCTCAGCCACTTCCCGCCGTCCCAGCACACTGCGACGTTCTGAGGATGACCAACAGACATAGGCCCGGACAACACCAGACACCCGACAGCCGGCCGGGAGGTGTGATACCTCCCTCTGACGGAGCCGAGCGGCCGGTCTGGCTGACTCTTGCGGCTTCCCAGTATCACTGGACTGCACCGATGGGAGGTGACACAAGCCGACACGATATGACACGGAATGACACCAACTGACACTCCCGACAGGACCTGACACACGGACCATGGCATGCAGGGGACAGCCGACGCTCGCCAGCCGATAATGGATCCCGCTCCCCCCCCCCCCCTCCCTGAGCCGCTACACCCTCAGGTCACCGCCGCCGTTGGGGCCGTCGACGGCCGGCGGCTCGGCGTCAGAGAGCAGCGGCCGGTCGTCTGACCCGTCCGACCCCTCCGACCCGGCGTCCTCCGGGTCACCGGTCAGTGGGGGCGGCGGCGCCTGCCCGCCCGGAGCGGCGGATCCGGCGGCGGCTGTCTCACCGGCAATCCAGCCGCGCTCGCGCATGAACGGCGTGATGATGACGTCGTTGTAGACGGACATGCCAATCAGCAGGATGACGAAGCCGATCGGCTGCCGGGGAGGGGGGAGGGGGGGGGGGCACTCGTTAGTCGTCCGCTCACTCGCCAAGCCCGGAAGTGGTGAGGTATAACACGGTTAGCAGATTTGAGCACCAGCTTGAGTGAACAAGGACAAAATGGCTGCATGAAATGAATGCCTAAACGCATACATTACATCCAGCTGTCTTTCCCAAATTGATAAATTGATACTCTTGCTTGATTTTGTGTCAGCTAATCCATCAAAATCGCCGTAACTACAAACACAGTACCTAAGCCAATATCTATTAGCTATCTAGAGTCTAGACATCCAAGGCTTAAAGAATGGATAACGAAAAAGAAGAAAGGCCAGGGAGAAGATAAAGAAAGCAAGCAACTCCGAAGGACAGACGGAAGGATGGAAAGAGAGGACGGATGGTGAAAGGCAGGAAGGTCGCTCGCCGGATCTTTCTATAGCCGTGCTACCTGCAGGTACTGGAAGTCCTGCCGGCCCGCCGACTCCCTGCATCTTACCTGCAGGTACTGGACGCCCTACCTGCCGGCCCGCCGCCCCCTGCATCTTACCTGCAGGTACTGGAAGTCCTGCCAGCCGAGTGCCAGCGACACCAGGTAGATGACCAGCGTACGCACAGAGTCCAGCACCATCCGCGTCGTGGCGTTAATCTCCTTGGTCACAGAAATGCCGGCGAAGTTGAAGAAGGCGATACTGATGATGGTGCCTGCGGGGTCAGGCACGAGCAAGAAATGCTGGCTGAATGAAGCATCGGTATATTACGAAGAATGAGCAAGCATGTAACACTAGCATGCTAGACTGGAAATTATCGAAAAATTATGGGCAGTGATGACTACTATCAAAATAAAGACAAGTGAGGAAAACATATAACTGCTTTATTTGTATGCCGTCTTACTTGTATTTTCGATGTCTCTGAGTAAGATTGTGAAAAAGCACCGCGGCTGTCTGATAATATAGCGCCGCCGCCCCTCTCCGGCCGCGCCCGGCCCACTCACCGCTGAAGGCCAGCGACAGCTGCCAGTTGTTGCCCAGCTGGTAGAAGGCGTCCAGCGCGTCCTCCAGCCGGTACTCGGGCGACGAGCTGAACGTCGAGTTGACGTGGATGTGGTACATGGGGAAGAGCAGGATGGAGAGCACGACGAAGCCGAAGAGTCCCTCGCAGCCGACAGCCATGAGCGGCGGGACGTTGGCCGAGCTGACGAAACGCTCCTCGATGACCATCTGGCAGGCAACCACCACCTGGGCGGCGATGATGAGCGCGTCGCCTGCCACACACAAGAGCCGTCAAAGGGTTACAAGGACGGACAGCGGAGCTGCAACAGGGAGGAAGACTGCTGAACGAACACAAAACATACAGAGAGAACACTTGTGTGCAGATAACCCTTAGTTAGTTAGCTGGCTTAAAACAGAAAAAAATATCGATAAAATACTTGCTATGTTCCTACATCCATCAAGAATATGTCGATCGAGCATGCTACAAAGCAAAAGTTTTGGTAGACCCAGACGAGACTAGACTTAAAGCCGGTTCGACTCCTCCCCATGAATATTCCATCCTTGCCCCACCATTTTTGACGCGGAGCTCGTTATATTGCCGGTATGGACTCACCGAGGATGACGTTGGAGGTATCGTACTCCTCGTCCGAGGGCAGCAGGAAGTCGGAGACGCCCACGATGGCCAGGCCGATGATGACGAACACGATGCCGGCCCACTGGCGAGCGTTCAGCTTCCGGCCCAGGCAGAACATGGAGAGCAGGCCGGTGAACACGATCACAGAGCCTGGGGAGGGACGGAGGCAGTTTGGTTAACACAGACCCTGGGCAGACAGGCCGGTGAACACGATCACAGAGCCTGGGGAGAAACGGAGACAGTCTGGTTAACACAGACCCTGGGGAGACAGGCCGGTGAACACGATCACAGAGCCTGGGGAGAAACGGAGACAGTCTGGTTAACACAGAGCCTGGGCAGACAGTCGGATAAACACGATCACAGAGCCTGGGGAGAAACGGAGACAGTCTGGTTAACAGAGACCCTGGGGAGACAGTCCGGTAAACACGATCACAGAGCCTGGGGACGGACGGAGAGGTCAGTGAACTGTCGGGAGACGCCGGAAGGCAGGGGACTGGTGGGAGAAGAAGGATGCCAGGGGGCTAATTTGAGACGGTAGTGGGGATGGGATTGTGGAGGCCTGTAAAACCGTGCAAGTTAAAAGGAACGGAGACGGGGGTCACTCACTTATCGACAGAAGCTTGATATTGCAGATTTAACTATGAAAATATACCATAAGCCATCAGTACCAACAACTCCACTACCTCAAGCATGAGTGCTGTTCTACACGCCGGCCGGAGATCACTGCAAATATTCACAAGTGACCTGCATCACGGCTTCTGATATCCCTTTTGAGTGACAGCGACAAAGCTGGCGCGATTCAACAAGCCACTAGCGATAGTCCGCCAGTATGTACTGAGAAAACGAGAAGTATTTACCAGGGTATATAGAACAAGAGGAGTATTTACCGTCAATGGTATCAAAGGGAGTGCTATTGACTGATCGTAAGTGGTAAATCAATAGGTACAGAACCGGTGGTGAGATGGTGATGATAAACACGCTTCGTACCATAAGTTTTAAAAAATGTTATCCCGAAAAAAAAAAATTATGAAGACTTGAGAGTCGGTGCGGTATATTGAGCCACCGACAGCTAAAACTCAATAGCTCCCAAATCAATAGGAGGTGCATGGGTACACCGCCGTCGACCGGCCCCTGACCACTGTTATCTTATGGAGGACCTCTTCACTCGTCCCGATATGAGGTCGCGCGGCGACTTTCAGTGGCGTCCAATCTGCCCATCCCGCTGATACGGGCCGGCAGCGGGGCCAGAAAAAGGACCGCGGCCGACACTTGTGACCCGCCGGCGGTGACGTGGCCCCGGCCCGGTCACGGGACATACCTCAGGGGGGAGATAGGTGACCTATGGACGTCCTCACACTCTGCTAGGGGCCCAGTCACGAGGTGTGAAGACACAGACCGCCCGCGGATCCTGATTCCTGAACCTCCCCGGACAGACCGACGAGCGGGGCAGTTCACAGCCAGTCCCACGGGGTTAGTATGGCGTGGTAATGCGACAATGGGTCGTCTTGAATTTCGAACAATGAGCGGTGAAACTGGAAATGCTTTCGAAAAAAAACTCGATAAAAACTCGGCGACCGAGTGGCAGTAGCTCACAGATACGCCCTTTATCCTCATTGAAGTCATCAGGAGAATTTTTTGTTCACATTCTCTTCCCCTCAATTATCATTAAGCATTTAAACAAGCTCTAACAGGGCGCTCCCCTGACGGCCGTCCGGCTCGACTTCGTCGGTCGTCCCTCCCCACCCCTCTCCTCCTCTCCTCCCACCCATCAACGCCGGCCGTCCCTGTACCCCCCCCCCCCCCTCCCTCTGTGTCGTGTCGCCAACCGGGTGATTCACGCGGCGCAAGTACGCCCACAAAAACCGGCCAGCTGGCGGCGCCAGTCCCGCTGGACGCAGCTGCGGGTCGGACCGCCGACACGACACCAACACTAAACACTCGCCGCCCGCGGCCACACGACAAACACGGCGACTGGTGAGGGCGGGTGGCGAACGGGATACAGCCGCAAACACTTGTGAAACAGCCCGACAATTGTAGATAATCGTCAACTCACAAATAGGAGTCCAAATCAGACCGATGACGAACAGTCACAGTAGGCTGATCGGCTTTGTGAGGATGTAAGTTGTCTTGGTTATCGGTGTTTGAAGGAGTGCGTATTTGCACAGAGCAAACATCGTTGTTTGACTTATTCTTAGCAGCGTCGTAAAACAAAGCAACCAAGCAATGAATGACCGTTAATGGGGACAATGACCTAATAAACGGAAATTTCATGAGCTGAAGTAGCCTAAAAAACGAACACCACGCAAATATCACGCAAAAAGAAATGTCACTATGATGGCACGGAATGTAAGTGGACGACTGTCACGCCAGAGCAGTAAATTCCCACTTCAGATACCGACTCCGTAATTCACGGTGACACCTAGCCAGACATACATTGTAAAAACTTGGTGGGCAGTGCCTGCCCTCCAATGTTGCACACGCTAGCGTTTGGACGGTGGTAACCGGACAGAGCCGGCTGATTCAGAGTCTGAGCGAGAGCTGCCAGACAGCGGTCAGCGCGGGCAGGCGGCAGCACACAGACGCTGACACAACCGTGTTCCTGGTATACGTCAGCTGCCGTGCAGCCGGACTTGTCGCCACTTCCTGATGGGCGTCTCCTTCCAGACTCCAGTGAGGGACAGCTCTCAGAGTCATGCACGACCCCGGCAAGCTTCCGAAATATCGTTATCATCGGCTGACGGAATATGAGACACGCTTCTAAAATCTACCTAGTCCGATTCCATGTAGGAGACTAGCTCGTGACTCGTAATTTCGGGCTCGTGGACTGAAAGTGTGAGTATCGAGGCGTCTCCTGTCCGGGTGCGTCCGCCCCCGACCACGGGACGGCCGCGCAGACTGGGCTATCTTATCCGCCGGCGAGGACGGGCAGTGTGCGTCAGTGGGTCGGTCGGCCGGTCCACCCCGGGTGGGCCGCGCCGCCCGCCGGACCCGCCGCACCACTTGAGAGCCGGAGACAGCGGGGGCTATCGGAGCAACGCGACCCCGTGACACCGAGATAGGCCGGAGGGGCGGCCCGGCCGGCCGACCACAGAGCCCGCCGGCCAGCGCCGTGCGCCCGTCCAGAACGGCACGGAACGGGGTATAAAGACCTTCATACGGCAGAGCAGCCGAGCCGAGCATTGAGGCCACAGAGGCGGGGAAACAGGGATCTAGGGAAACAGCGAGTTTCCCAGCCAGCAATTTGGTTTGGCTCAAGTGCGTTTCGCCCCGGCAATTCCGACATGCCCGAGTTGGGCCGGTGTAAACGAAACGCCGTCAGAGCCGGGGTTTGGGTCGATATGATATGGCTCTATTCCTTTGCCGTAGCGCTCCCGAGTTGGTATGGTTTCGGACCGCCAAGTCTGGCTCAAGTCCGGCTCCCTGCAGCCAGGTCCGTCTGCCTCGAAGTTGCTCTGGCTTACTGTGGCCGAAGTACGGTTGAGATTGTACGGCACGGCTGATGCGGCGTAATTCAGGTGCGGGCGAGCTCCGGGTTCGTGTGTCGTGTCAGCTCCAGTAGAGCCCCAGACCTTGCCCGTACTTTGACCGGAGCAAATGCCGGAGCTAGCCGGAGTAAAATAAGCTACGGCCCAGACCAAATTTGTTGGCTGTGTCTATTGTTCCGCTTGTGAGTTGAGAAAGCCGTTAAAGTTATTCCGGTGTCTGCTATTCGAGTCTCAAATCATCACCAAACATGTTTCGAAAATCGTAAGCCTTTAAAATATGGGACTGAAGCAGCAAAACTCTGACTCATTAAAATGGCGGTCACGATGGTTCCTCGGTAATAATGCCTAAATGACACGAAACAACCATAATATGCAATGAACTGAAACCATATCCGAACCCTACCTGATGTGTGAACTCGATAACTGTCCTCATTTTATAATACTACTTTCATTATCATGAGTTGCACTGATGCCAGATACAAGTTAAAAGGCATCCCTCCCCATGTTCCCAAACTTCGTTCCCACCCCATCCGGCGGTCCGGGCGCACTGACCTCGCAGCATCTGGAAGGACGAGGCGTACGTCAGGTTCAGACCGACGTACATCGTGGACGTGGCGATCATGTCGCACATGGCCGGCGGCAGGAAGATGAGCGGATTGAACTGCCGGTTGCCGCCTGTCAGGGTGCTGGCCTGCACTCGCTCCTCGCCGCCTTTGTGCTTGAAGATGAAGTAGAACATGAAGAAGGCGTACATGCAAGAGAACTCTCCTACAAACATGGACGTTGCTTGTAGGAATGGATGGTTGAAGTGGACCAGCTCGCCTACGCTGTTGATGCTCTTCAGCTGGTCGGCCCATCTGGAGGAGAATAATTGCTTATTAGTGAACCAAGCATTAACATACAGTAACCTTACGATTGTTTAATTTTCAGTTTCGTGTATTAACTGGAATATGACAAAAACAGTGAGAACAATGCATAAAGAAACAACTTAAGAAAGAAGGTAAGAAGATGAAAAGATTAAAGATACATAACCTAAGCTCAATTCAACAGTCCAAAACCAAAGGTACGTGCTTTACACACTAGGTAACACAAAAATTATAAAAAAGGCAAATCAATCTTAGTTAAATATTGAAAGCTTAGCAAAACCAAAAACATGAACTAAGGAAATATGACAGTGTATAAATCCCCTGCACATAATGTTATGAAATTACAGGCAAGAGTTCTAAGTAGGTCAAACTTACTTTGTTGAAAGTGTGTTCAATGAGCCTGTGACGACCATAAGTCCAGCCAAAAACAGTTGATAAGATGTCCACGCCATAGTTCTGATATTTTGAGGTGAATAGCTATGAAAAAACACAAGACCTTCACACTGGTTTCAAGCACAATCCAAATCGAGGTTAGCTAATGGCGAGCCGGCTAGAAAGCGAAACACGAACCGAGTCGCTCCGCTTCCACCAAGCGACTGGAGTTCAAGCTATCATCGGCAGATAACAAGGCCACACTGACGCTATATCGAGGTCATCGAGATAACTGATAAGTGTGTCTTATACCGATATCAGCCTGTCCAAACACACCCAACCCCCTCTCCCACGGTGTGCAGCGAATGCTCTCCTTGAAGCCGCACAACAAAAAGACAACGTAAACAATATTTCGTTACTTCTGCGCTGTTTTTGTGACAATTTAGTCTTTAAAACACTGCACCTTAGCTAAAATACTGCCAAATCGTTGTCGAGCAGACACTTAGCAGAATATATTACAACGGAAATGAAATAGCAGTTCGAACTTGAAACGACAAACACCTATTTTAATAGAAAGCTGCAGTACCCTTTTGTAGCATGAATCGTAGATCATTCTTACAAGTTAAAATGAGCGCCCTTCTGTGCAATTTGTGTCTAACCTAGCCGTACGGGTAGGTAGCGAAAATCCCGTAAAAGCGTGGCTTAGTTTTTTTTTTAATTTTCAAAACATACGTTATTCCTTGGGTTCGTATGTCATGACGGCTAATCCATTTTGCCTGACGAATCTGGTCTCTAAATGCAAATAAAAGCGCAGATGATTTACACACTTTTATTGACAACGTGTTGACATGTGAACTGCAGCTCCAATCGGCGCTGTTCCATTTGCCCAGCTGTCTTGCTGGCAACAGAACCACCTATCACACGTCGAGCGCACCTCCGCGCCCGTCCCATTGCACGAGTACCTACGTGACCGAAAATTACGACGCTACAATGATGGTCGGATATCGGTAAAAATACCGAGGACAAATCGCTGTCACTGGCGCGAGGTAGCGACCTTCCGTAATCGTAATCACATTCGCGATTGATAGCACATGAGCGTGGACCTTGTGACATTTCAGAACACAAAGTACACAGAGGAGCGCCACCGCGGTACAAATATTGTACCCAGTGGCCTCATATGATAGATCGTAGACCGACAAAAACGGGCCCACATCGGGAGATCCCTGACGCATTCCTTCTCAAAACCTTCCTCGGAAAGCTCTGGGCTACTTTGCTCGATGACATCACAGTGAACTGATGAACCGGTCGGACATTCCTCACACACATATCGCAATGGCCGCCGGCGCTGCGACCGCCGCGGTAAAACCCGCGGGGTCAGGGGGCGGGCAGGTCAGGGGACTGTCCACCGACTGGGGGCCGGGTCCCTCGGCCGACTCCCCTGGGAAGCCCTCGTAGCAGGGAGCGTGACCCTCCCCCAGCGCGGGCTCGGACGAGGACAAGCGGTCCTCGACATCCTCGGCGAGCTCGCCCTCCATTACAGGGTCCTCCGATAGCAGTCGTTCCTCGCCGCCCGCCACGGTGTCCTCCGATAGCAGTCGTCCCTCTTCCTCAGCCACGGGTTCCTCCAGCCGTCTGCTCTGCTCGCCCCCGCCCGGCGCCGGCCGATCGGAGGTGCGTCCCTCACTCTGAGCGCAGCTGGTCTCCTCCAGTAGCGGGCGGTTCAGCTCAGAGTCCGACCCCGGCCAGATGAAGCGGCTGCCGCCCGCCTCTCCCAGGTCCACTTCCGGCTGCCCGCCGCTGCCCCAGAGCGAGCCCTCCTCCTCGACTCCGACTCCGACTCCGACTCCGACTCCGGCCACGGAGGGCGGGTAGATGAAATCCTCCGGGTGCGCGGGCTCTTTAACAGGAGTCGCGGGCCGGTCACCGGCCTCACAGAGGCCACCCTCAGCGTCCGTGATGAGTCGCGCGCCGCGGTACCTCCACGGCACGACCATGATGACGGCGGCGAGCACCAGAACGCCGCCAGCCGTGTACAGACTCGGCAGGTAGGTGGCCGTGTGGTCAAACAGCAGACCTGCCGGCGGAGCAGACGGACACACGTCACATATCGCTGTTTGTTAGAGGGGGTGTAATGTGTATCATCAAATCGTGCGATAGCTTGATTTATTAGAGGCTGTTCGTTTTACAAACGTAAAACAAACACGAACTCAAGAAGCATACAGGACAAAGTAATCGACGGTTGATAGCTAACAAATCATAAATTGTGACCACTTATTGGACCCAGCTCGAGTTTCAGCCAGCACTGCCACGGTCCACGAGACTTCATCCTCTCCCAAAGCAACACAAACATCAGATGTCAAGGAACTACGAGCGCCGTCAAACCAAGCGACTGGGGGTGTCTGTCTGCACGCACCGGCGAACGGCGCTCCGAGCATGAATCCGGCGGCTTCGAAGACCATGAGGTAGCTGTATGTGACGGCCAGCCGGGAGTCGCCCACCAGGCCGATGACGATATCGGGTGTGAGCGCACCGAGACAGCAGCTGGCGAACCCGAACACGCTGGCGCACACCGACAGAGCTGCCGGGGGCAGGGGAGAGTCGTAAGACGTGTGGGCTATATCATGATAGTAGTGGCTCAAGTAAGCGCCCCATTGTAATAGAATCAACACCGCAGCGAAGATAATCGGTTACACCAAAATCGCGTCGAAAAGTGCAAGAGCTTAATATTTCAAACAGGCTTTTCTGCATTGTACTTGTACATATGAGCGAGCATAGACAAATCTGAATTCATGCTCAACCATTTAACACCAAACAACCAACCAACCAACCATATGAAGCTCATCACCCTTTAGTGCACCGTTCCTCCAGCCCCGCCCTGAACTGCGACTCACTGGTGGCGGTGTGGCACACTGCGAACAGCATGGTGGACACGCCGGTGACCAGGGTGGAGGCCGTGAACACCAGGATGGTGGCCATCCGCGGAAAGTGGCAGATGACGCCGTGCGCGATACGACCCACCTGGAGACACCGGACGGGATTGTATCAACATGAAACATTGCACATTCGACTGCCGTGATGGTAAGCGTAATTCGGCTACCAGATATCAGACTGCTATTTGTGAACAGCGTAAACGCATTGTGATTCGTGCAAATAGACTTCGCTGGATCGAACAAACATCGACAATTTTTCACCGGGAATGGGATTCACATGCATTCTCCTCACACAAACCTTTTTTTTATTCGTCCCATCACAAAAGCGTCCAGCCTATTTAAAGTCTGTCAACAATCTCCTCTTGACCTCATGTTGCTCGCCAATCAAGTACTTTCCGAACACTCGATCGGTCTTTATCAGCGTGGTCACGATAGTGCCCCGAGTCGGGACTAGTTATCTCGGCAATATCGAGTATCTGCAATCGAGAAGCCGGGCGAACATAGCCGGGAGCTTAGAGCCCAGAGCTCGGAATCGGTACTACAGAGCTATAATCACATAACTTTAATCACATAGCTCTAATCACAGAGCTCTTATCAAAACGCTTTAATCGTAGAGCTCGAATCACAGGGCTTGAGTCACAGTTGGTAGCTCAACTCTGAGAGCCCGGGAATGTGAGCTCTAAACTCGTAGCTCGAAACCTAAGATGCTCAAATTGCAGATCTCAATGTTCAAATTTCGGAAGTCGAGACTCGAAATTCGAAGCTGGCAGCGCTCGAAGTTTAAAGTTAAGAGCTCGAAACCCAGGACTCGAATATCAGCTCTCAGCTCTCGTGACTTGAATTTCAGGGCTCCAAGTCCTGCCTTGTCTCTCCGCTCTCAGCTCGGCTCGCCCCTCCGCTCTCGGCTCTCTCTCTCTCTCTCTCTCTCTCTCTCTCTCTCTCTCCCTCTCCCTCTCTCCCTCTCTCTCTCTCTTTCTCTCTCTCTCTCTCTCTCTCTCTCTCTCTCTCTCTCTCTCTCTCTCTCTCTCTCTCTCTCTCTCTCTCTCTCTCTCTCTCTCTCTCTCTCTCTCTCTCTCTCTCTCTCTCTCTCTCTCTCTCTCTCATTCGTCCCGCCACTGACCAGGTTGGAGACGCCGATGATGGAGAACAGGGTGGCCGTGCCGGAGCGGCTCAGCACGCCCGTCCTCTCGGCAAACGCGCCCAGGTGCACGTACACGATGGCTTGGCCGAAACAGAACAGAAAGTGGTTCAGGCTGAACACCAGCAGGGGTGGGGTGCGCATCACGCCCAGGCAGCCGCGGAGCTCCGTGAAATATCCACCTGCAAAACAAACAGGGGTATGTCGTTACCAGGACACGCTAGATAAATCGGAAATAGGGAGAATAAATCGACATGACCCGTGTAAATGAACAGAAAAATGACACGTCTCACGATGAAAATCAATCAGATCACTACCCAATGTAATATGTTTCTTCATTTCATAGAATAAGACTCGAAAGCTCAGCCAGGCTGCTTCCAATAGCAAAGTGGCTGCGGTATAGCTTTATAGTTCCATTACCCGATGCAAAATATCACCTTCAGCATACCGAAACGTTCCCTGTATTCTCCCATAACTATCGTACCATTTTTGTTTGGCGTCGCGGAGGTCTGTTTGAGCGGCGCCATCAGCGCGCCGGCAGCCGTCAGCGCGCAGACGACGATGACGGCAATGATGACGAGCACCAGCCGCCAGCTGAACACCTCCATCAGAGACCTGCAGTGGCGACACTGGTCAGCGGAGGGAGCCCCGACCCGGGCACACACCCGCGCCTGTAGGGACGGGGACGGTGGGCCGTATATGGGCCCGACCTACCTCGCTGTGGGAGTCGTATCAGTTCGGTTCAGATGTCGGGCGACCAGGACAAGCCGGATTTCGGGCACAAAAATAAGTTTTTCTGGAAAATTATGGGAATTGAACTCCTATGGTGGGTATGTACCTGCCCCTGCCTTGGTTGCATAAAATTTGTCGGATTAAACAAAACACGCCGCGACATAAGCTGCAACAATCTTAATCGTTAATACCTAAAAAGAAATAAAAAACAGCAATTAAATTTGTTTTAACTAGGACAACACAATAAAGCAGAAGAAAAATGACGCAAAATTGAAAAGTAAGATCAATTCGCGATATCCTCCGAGCACCGGAGGGTCTTAAAAGCAAACCTAGGATTCGGTCCACACGGCCCTGACATTTCCGTGGCCTGCACGCCATCTAGCGAGTGCAGTTCGTCACTAGCGCCGCCTAGCTAACACCCGTTGAGAGTCCGCCGGCTTCTATTCATCGCTCAGTCACCCTCATCTCGATCAGCCTGGTTAGTGGCGTCACCTCTCAAACAAAGGTTACCTGGGGTACACTGTCACTCACCTAATGACTGGCGGAAAGACAAAGCACCCGAACCCGACTCCGGAGACGGCCAGGCCGAGCGCGATGGTGCGCCGGCGCTCAAAGTACTGGCTGACGCAGACGATGGACGGCACGTAGGCGAGCCCCAGCCCCACACCTGCAATAGGCGCCAGCCGGGCTGACGGCGGCCGCTGCAACCGGCTCTGGCCGGACTACACCGGCTCTAACCAGACCACACCGGACCTGACCGGGTCAGGTGACACCGCGCCGCGCCAACGCGGACCAGATCACACCTGACCCGACCTCGAGTCGCAGTGCAC